TACTAGCTCTATCTATAAATCCATCAATGTTTGTATCTCACCTTGTATGTATGTACTTTACCTGAATAAACATTTGATTTGATTTGATTTGACTTGAATTTTGACCACAGGATGGACTGGATTAAAGGACTCCAGAGACATGAGAGCACTGCGAGAATCAACTACAACAACAAAGGAGGATTGACAGCGAGAAAGCAGTTGACGAAGAGCATACAAAATATCAAAGTTCTGCCGTGAAGATGCTGGTTTCTGGAAGCAGGCGACACATATATATGTGGTCAGGAAAAACAAGAGTAGCCTATACCGTCTGCAGACTTAAACGCATCTGTGAAGACGGAAATAGAGTGGGAGTGTGAAGAAAAGTATTCAAGGAAAAGGCGTTTCAGAACTATAGGAGGGGTAAAAGCTTTAGTCACGTGGGTCAAGGTTTTACAAACTTTTGGAAGGGGGACCCTCCACGGGGGCAAGGACGGAACGACACGAGGGGGAAATATTGGTAACACGAACCGAAAGAGAACCTTGCAAGCGAGACAACCGTACCGAAGAGGTAGTGAAGGGGAACAGAGACCACGAGAGGGATAAAGGTCAAAGTATGATACAAGGGAGTGTGAGGGTGTTGTAGGAACCAAGCAAGGTAGCTTAGACAGTAGCGACCACGGCGACCCTGTAGACAGGATGCATTATAGACGTATAAAATACTTTGGGGGATTGACAGAGTCGAAATAGAGGAAATGTTCACAATGAACACTAATATAACAAGGAGACATGGGTGGAATCCTGAGACACAGAGACGTTAGAAAGTTTTCATTTAGCGTAAAAGTAGTGGGAAAAATTAATAAACTTAAGGAGCAGGTTGTAGAAGAAAGCTCCATAATTTGAAAAGTAGATATGACGGGATAAATAGTAAATATGCCAGGAGTCATTGCTTTAAACAACCAACGACTACAAAAGCGGGGTCCAAGAGCTAGTTGTCGATCCTGCAGACACAAACAGGCGAGTACACAGCCCCTCTCACATGCTTGCCTTGCCCCAATAAGAAAGTTAAACTCGCTTCCTCACGACACACAGCACCTTCCTCCCCCCCCCTCCACAAACACACCCTCCACAACACACACACTATACATAACCCGCACTGTATATACACACACACACACATGCTGTAATACAGAGAGGACGACACAAAGTATATGCAATTAAGAGATTTCATAAATATTTTGGTAGGCTCAGGTAAACCAAAAGGCAAACCTCACAAGCAGAACACCGCACCCGGTCCCTCCCTTCCCCCAGGGCAGCAGTGATACAGTAATGTCCAAAAATAACAGCATCTCACAATGAAAAGCGTTGCACAGGTGCAATGATAAGGCGCCATCTTTCCCTGGCGCCACCACCACCACCATGGCAGACCCAGCTAATGGCGCCAGGGGGATGGGGCGATGGTGGCGGCGTGGTGAGGATGATGGCGCCCCACACACAACTGGCCGTACAGATTTCTGGAAGGCAAAAAAGAAATCTGAATACTATATTCAACTCGGCGACAGCCATTCATGAGTATGCTACACCGGCTTGGAACCCCACTTCAAGAAACAACACGAAAATAGAGTCACAGAACTACGCAATTAGGCTTGTTCCTGAGGTAATGGGACAGAAAATAGTTACTTGAGTTAGGATATTGTTGTGGGTTGCGCCCTGGTGAAGGTCAGCCACTCAACTCGTCTCCGCAACTAATAGATCGTGTTTTTTACGTTATCGTAACCGATGTTACAAAGATACCTTATAGGAAAAATAACAGCTCAATAACATCTACGTTTTCCATGCGTCGGACTCGATAGGTTAAGTGGATTGCTTGAATTCCTACGTTTCCGCTTAGGTTAGATTTTTTTACGGAGTGGCAATTCCAGAGAACGTGCCAAGCCACTGGCCGAGGGCGTTCCCGATAAATCTAATAGTCTTCCTGTCCCTGGGAATGAGAGACCAACAATACAGAATTTAATCCAAATTTAAATAAAATCTAATTCACCAAATCTACTGCTGCAAATATTGTCTTCCATCTTTTTTTCATATCTATATTATGCACCCCATACCACATCCCGTGGGCGGTGGTGGTGGAAAGGGTTACAGACCAACACGTGTTTATACAAGGCAATATAAACCGAGGACGGTGCTGGTGTGGTCAAGTCGGCCGTCACTGGGTCAAGGTACACACCCACACAGCCTTCAACACCATATGCCTTACCACTCTATAATACGTAAATGCGTACAGTATTGTACATACAAGATCTCGGCCAAAGCAGAAAAAGACTTTACAAAATAAATAACGTGAGCACGCATTTGTGTAGTATTTTCAAGCATTTAAACCCACCTTTTATTCATATATATATATATACATATAAAATAGTTTATATTGTCATATTTTAACATTTTACCGCATCACATTCTGTATTATTAACTGCAGTAAATATTTACATAGCTGGATAAAAATATGCAAGTCACAGTATCAAGACAAGTGGCACTCCTGACATGTTATAACTACCAGCAATAGTCAAACTGGGGCAGTAGGGTCATGGGTAAACAATCTCTCGCGCATATGAGGCCAAGAGTACACACTCCGTGGTCATGGCTGACACCCGGTGCTTCAACACTCAACTTTTGAACATACATATACCACGTAGGTATCAATAAAGTCCATACTAAATGGACTTTATTATCAAAAGTCAACCTATGTTGACTTACTAGTGTTGCACATCCAGGTGCTGCTGCTGCCATATGCAGGGCAGCACCACCCCGTAAATAGAGAGATCTGGATCATGGATAAAAAGTATGCAGCCATGGGGTACCTTGAAAAATGAGGTGTGATGTAGTAGTAGTAAATTTTCGTGATTTACACACACAGTAGTAGAAAATACTGCCACAGAAGTGATAGGGTAGTAAGTAATTATCAAAAGTAAGTAAGTAATTATCAAAAGAAGGCACCAAACCGGGAAGGCTATGTAGCACCATCAAATGTGCGGAATAATCAGAGGGCGCTAAATATCACCAAGGATGCCAATACTAGAACAAAAACGCATAAGGCAAAGATATCAAAAGTATCCGAGTCACCAAGAATTCTATTGAGGGACAGGGGCGGTCGGAAAGCAAGACACATGCTCGTCCTGGAAGTCAGGACATGCACGACCGTAAGAGGGACAATGCAATTAGGACAATAAGGAGCAGGGCGGCGCTCCATCAAGTGACCATGGGTTAAGCGAGTATGGCCAATACGCAACCTCGCCAGAGCTGTTTCCCATCGCCGGTTACGGTGGTAGGAGGACGGCCACGAGGAAACACAACACTTAAGAGTACGTAGTTTGTTACCAGTAACAGACGACCAAGAAGCCTGCCAATGGGTAAGGACGGAGGAATGGATAACCAGGTAAAAGTCGGAATATGGAATACCTTTACGAGAGATGGGACAAGAGCGGACAGCTTCCTTGGCAGCAGCATCCGCACGCTCATTTAAAGACACACCAACATGGCTGGGAACCCAACAAAACTCAACCGACTTAAATTTACTGTGAACAAGAAACAGCCAATGCTGGATCTCGACAACTACTGGATGAACCCCAATGCGGCTAAGCGGGTAGCTGCATCCTGAGAAGGAACAGCAATGACACAGGTACCAAAACGGGAGGGGTTAAATGTAACAGGCATCCACCGAATCAACAAGGTGTTTATGGAGGAGGAAATCGCCAGGAACTGTAGAATCTATATGGGCGAGATCAAAGTATTTAGTCCATGTAGCAGGACAAAACAAGGCATGGTACGTATTAGCACAGGATAGAATCGTGTGGGAGCGTCAGTGCTGAGAACCTCCAGTAAGAGGTGGTGTGAAAGGTGCAGGAGTCACAATGAGAGAGGGAGCCGCTCCAGGGGACGAGGTGGTCACCACTGGGGGCTTGGGGCTCGACCCTACCACAGAGGGAGGGAGGGAGGGGAGCAGAGGGGAGTAGTTGGGAGAGTCAAAAAGAGTAGCTTGGTCTGGGCCCAATGTAGCGAGGGCTACAGAGCCTGGTCTTCCATCACAGTCTGACTCCGGGGCCTGGTCGCCCACTCCATGAGCCTGGGTAAGAGGTCAGTTCGGTTTCCATATATCATTCATTTTAAAAAGTTTGGGGCCTGGCATCAAGGGATACCAACTACCATGGCAGCCAGGGAGACAGAGCAGGCCAGTGCAGGAAGTGGTGCGTCGTCCCCAGCAGTGCTCCCCTTTTTTAATGGGGAAAGTCCTACTGCATCGTCCATTCTCCCACACTGGTGTAAAGACCCCATTCTTCCTTTCGCCCCCGCCTAGACACCCAGCCATCCACTTAGGGCAGACCCTCATGGGTGACCCCTCCAGCTGGTGGTCCGTTGACTCACGAGGACCCTACACAGCGTCCATCTGCACGTACAACACCCAAAGATGGGCAAGAGAGGGGGACGAATGCAACCCTCACTGGTCTCAGGGAGGTGTACGTGAGCCCCTCACCACAAGGCGACACCACGGAGGGGTAAATATAACAAAGGATGCCAATACTTTGAGGAAAGATAGGTAATTAGCTAGGGCAACAAGCCGAGAAGACTATTTAGCACCCTTTCTCACAATATTCAGAAATCCCAAGATGCCAGTCAGGATGACAGTACAAGATCAAAAAGACATTAAGATGCACAATGTCAGAAATTAGACTTAAGATTTTATCAAGGAACATTACGACTCAAAGTAACTGGCAAAACAATATTTTTTATCATTATGAAATATCAGGCGCAGAAAAAACAAATTTACCATTCCTGAAAACCAGGACTCGCTATAATGAGGTGCACGGAAGCTAGATTTATCATAATCCTGAAACTCACGAGATTACGACCGTTAGTTGGATAATCCAACTTTAACCATAAATCGAGGAAAATTCAACATCCTTTAACCACCTTCCAATAGTTTAAACAAATTAAAACAAGGTATATAAACTGAACAAAAACAAAACAAAAAAGGCATAAACTCTCATTTTATTAAAGAGAAAAAACATTACTAGAATGCATCCATATGGTAATGCAGTTATTTGAGTAACTGTTAAACTTTATAGTTTGTTCTTGCTTTAATGAGGAGTCTAACAAGAAAATGGTGTGTGAAGCAGAACTAGCACCAACATTATCACCACCATGTGCATTCCTACATACACACATACAATATGCATGATCAACATTTCTAACTTCATGAGGAATAGGGGACTTCTTTTGTAATAATCATATTTCTGTATGCTTACTAACATTCAAGTACTTGAGGCTATTACAAACACACACAACACTTAAATAGAAATATTCTTTCACAGTCCATTTTGATTTAATGTGGCACAATGCCGTAAAGACATGACTTGGCATTAAAATAACCACATAAGATACTTCAGCTGCCAACACCATCCATAAACGTCCTTCGTTACAATGCAAAAATTACACAATATTATTGACTTTTACAAGTCCCTGGAAGTACTTAAAACTCTTTCTAGAGTTACTGACATGACTAAAAGTGTCTTATTTATATTATATTATATATATATATATATATATATATATATATATATATATATATATATATATATATATATATATATATATATATATATATATATATATATATATATATATATATATATAAATTTTATTTAAATTATACGACATTTAGTCTTAAAACCATTCCCATGAATTTATGTGAAAAACTTAATCTTTCATTAACCAAAAACCAATTAATATTTGTGACAATTTAAAAGTATAATCTTGCTGCAATCATTCGTACAAAAGTACAATTTTGCTGCAGTGATGGGTACAAAAGAACATTCTGGCTGCAATCATAGGTACAAAAGTACATCCTGGCTACAAACACACTTTTACAATAGTCTTAGTAACCTGTATTTCAAACAGATGTCCATAACATCTCGTGCTAGAGATACCTTATCACTGGACAATAACCGATCACAAATGCGCACCACTCACGCCACACTTCAAGTATAAAGATGAACACAATAATAAACTTCTCAAGATACAAGATAAAAGTGAACCAAACTTGCATAGTTGCAACATATACCTGCACTTACAGAACATTTGTAGCACCAAAAAAATTATATTAACAATTAATCTTAACTAAAATTCTAAACCGACAAATAAATTGTTGGAAAAAATGAGGGTTGCGCAGGTTTTATGAACACTGGGCTTTGTACAATGTGACGCGACAAAAACAAGAGTGATTTATTACCATCCAAAATATGCCAAATTGTAAACTATCCCACAGAACCTTTCATCTGTAACACATTCACTATAAAGCAGTTTACATCTTGTGTATTACCACTGACAATAAATGTGCGGAACATCACTTGGTGTTAAAATTTACAAAGATAGTTGGATCTAATTGTAATTTGCAGAAAAGTAGTCAACTACTCATACATATAAAGCCAACTCTCAAAGGAAAATGTGATAAGCCTTTTAGAATTTGTCTTCAATTAAGTACGTAATACAAAATGCATCACTAATGATAGGAAGATAATACAATACAATAAAAATCAAATGTCATCTCTGCCTGCCATCAATATAGAGGACATGCATGTGTATATTTACAAAATATAAAATAATTTCTCCTCCCATGCTATATTCCAAGTACTGTACAGTATTCCAGATTTTGAAGAAATAATAATAAACTAGAAATTCATCACAGATTGCACAGTTAATATGACATTTAAACTCGTATGAATTTGTATAAATAATTCTATAATTATAGTTAATTATGAAGTTATTTATAATTTACATACTAGTTCACCTGTTCTAAATATTAACACCACCACATTTAAATGTACAAAGTAATATGCACAAACATCTTGTTAACTGATACAACATTTAACTCAACTATTTACAATACAATAATCATACAACTGACAAATGAAAAAGATGCAATACTAGACAAAATTTCAAGCCAACCACTTCTCTTCAACACAATCTAGACAGTTTAAGAAATGCCTTTTGAAAAATATTTTGTTCGATATATCTATGTCTCATCTATTTTAGTACAACACTTGGCTACTACAGTATTGTGAACTATTGTCTATTTGAATTCTACACAGTGAAAAGTACTTCAAAGATAAAAATATGTAGTTCTGGTTGAACTCAAACACAGCAGTGTGAAAAACTATGAAACCGTTCTGTTACGAATATCTAAATGGGCGACATATGTCTGGTAGATTAGAAGGGAATGAGAGATGAAGTTAGCAGTACAATCCCAAGAGAAAAAGGGCATGGGGAGGGTGTTACCAATGTGGGTAGTGGAATTATGTCACAATGAGCTTACTCTACCTTAACATTTGGATAGTGCCATGCAGGTATAGTTACTTATAACCAAGAATGCATTGCCCAATTTTATCACTGATATTGCATATGCATTTTAACATTTTACATTTTAAAACTTAACCAACTACATTACAGCTTTATTTTTTAAATAACTTCATTTTTAGAACTAAGGGAATATCAATTTCTAAAATTCTTTTTGGAATAGTTCATGGTACAGTACTAATAAAAATTCAATATGGATGAATGTGAAGAAAACCAATTTGAATATAAAAGTCAATGAAATTACCGATTTCTTTAATAAATATATCCGAGGCATGACATTTCAGAATTGGAATACAAAAAGTTCCAAGTAATTGTTGATCAGAAATTTATTCAAAACAATTAGGACCATATAAGAATACAGGTACCCAATATTTGATTATACTGTATAAACAAGGGATAAGGGATATGAATCTTAATACAGTACTGTATGTGGTTAGACAAACAAACGAAAAAACTGCCATGATCAATCCTTTACAAACATATGCATTACGATACCTTTGCCAACAACAGATAGTTGCATTGACTGCTTTTTTAGTGCTATTTTTTTTCCATGATGCAATCATACGTTAATAAATTTTGTTTACGTTTGCAAATGGAAATAAGTTAACCGAGCTGAAGTATTTTCTAACATCCAACACATGATTCTGTCCGAGGAATGAGTCTAGTTACATGGTGAATATATTAAGAGGCTGTAAATGGAATTGTATAGCACAATTTCAATTGTTCTGCATTTACTACATTTAAGCACCTCGACTGTGAATCTCCAGTTACATACACGAGGTGGAATAGTCTTCATATACGAAGGGCATTTCCTTACATTAAAGAATGTGTACGTTGCACAATTAAATCACAAGGAGGAGGAGTTCAAGGAAGCCAGTTCAATCCCATAACATGGCTTCAATATCTTCCCAATGTGTATATTGCTTTTCACCAAGACACAGAATGTGCCTTTTTCTAAATTACACTGAAGTATGATAACATTTACAATAATCCAGACACACACATGACTGCAGATTAGTAATATAGTATTACATTCCATAGAATGATTAATAAAATATCATGCTGTTCAATCACTAAATTCATTATAGGAGGAGTGCTTTCTTCCCACACTAGCTTCTTCGTTTTCAGTCTGACCGGACATATTGGTTTGTTAATAAAAGCAAGCAAGCACGAGAAAATCCATGTACAAGCATGTAATTATTAAAAGAAAGCACCAAGCTGGGCTTAGTTAATAAAAGATATACTGTACTTGCATTAACATTTTCTTATGGTACTTTTCAAAGAAAAGTTACATAGTACTTGAATACTCATCATTTATTTGAAATGGGCTGAAGTATCTAAGCAATCTCTGCACACATGCCAATCTTGTTTCAGAAAAAACAGGAACACTGTCCAATCAAAGTAATAATAATGGTTTAGCAAATTATATATAGATTAAGGAATATCAGGTCAGAGCACCTTTACTTTAAATAAGTGGCAAAAGTGTGTTATAGTGAAACTGAATTGATAACAGAACTCAAGTGTCGTATATGTATATAAAAAGTTGCTTGTGCTGCTATAAAACTTCACCAAACAGCCTTGTTAGTTTGATAATAGATAACAGATTATCTATGATAATCTGTTATTTGAACTGCCTGGTAAAGCAAACCGATAGTTATTTCACCCATGGAAGTATTATTATAGGAAACTAAGGTGGCAGGGACCTCTTCGCCCCCCTTTGGTAATTCCCTTTCCTCAATTGTCCAATAATTTCGTAGCCCATATAATTTTCTACACAGCCTCATTTGAAGAAATATTTTCCAGTTTTGTTCTTCCCCTTCTATATTTCTATCTTTTCATATTTCTTCACTTCTGCTCTTTCAAACATTTCTTGTTTCTCAATTATTATACAGTATTGACTGCTTAACTCCTCCAATAGCCAGACTAGCACAGGAAACCTCGTCTGACTTTTTGTGGGGGTTCAAACATTTCAGTGCCTGTGAAATGTCTGGGACACACTCAACATATGGCTGTGTGTTCCAAGATGGGGATGGTCCAGAGGAAACGAAGGTTTACAGAGCAAGAAGATAAAAGAATATATTTCACCTGTCTTTTTTTTTTTTTTTTTTTTTTTTTGAAAGGTCCTACTGTACTTGCAACATGAACATAGCATTAAGAACACAATCTACCCAACACAGTCTTCCACTACTGTCAAATATTATCAGTGCATAAAATTTAAATTATTTATATGTGGAATATGAAGTTCTCCAGGATTTTATAGTTCTAATCAGTATGCATCAAAGAATCTAGTGGAAATGATGATCAATAAGTGATTAAAAGCACACATTAATTTCAGAGATATTACACACTGTATTTATTCATGATTGTAATGAGAATTCTTTTGCTGGTTAAAGCATTAGGTAAACAATACATCACATAACCTATCTTTGTAATTTTAAGGCATATTGAATTTAAGGCATTACGAATTTACCATATGTGGCTTTTCTAAGATTCACTACTTTTTTTTTTTTTAATTTTGCAGTTTGTAAACATATTAAAATCATGGTCCCAAGATGATGATCACAATTACATGTAGATATAGATCTTAGAATTAAGTATACCCATTAGTCCTTAAAATGTTCCTAGACTGCAGTCAATCTTCTTACATGTAAGATGAATTAAATGGCGTGTTTTATTATGCTTAAAAATGAGTTCACGATCACTTAAAAATTAAAGGGAGGGCCATACTGTAACCTCTAAACAATCTTAATTTCACATTCTGGGTATTCGGAATACTTGTGTTTGTACTTGTTATACAGACTAATCACTGCATTGACATAGGTTTCGTGTAAACCCACAATCTGCTCCTTCGTGGGATTCTTCACCACGGGTACATCAATTGGTGAGCCAACTGCAAAGAAAAGTCTCATCTGTTTAACCTAAATACTGAAATATAATTGAAGTCTTGTTAATGCTTTGAAATGTATTAAAGGGAAAGATAGATCTTTGTATATTAAATTATGATTAAATTGCACCTTTTGGCAACATGCATCGGGTTCATTACAACTGTCAAATGAACTCTGGATAAACTTCTTTCCCAAGTGAGGAAGAATGTAAGACACAGAAAAGGTTTATACTAGCATTATTGCTCTAACCCTATTGGCTATATTCAATCACAATTATTTACAAGAATATGCACTTCCAGAATACATTAATATATATACAGTACTGTACAACAAAAAAGTTATTAGTTTGCCATAATTTATTACAGATTTGTGTTGTAGCATTATACTACTGTATTTATATGGCAAAATTTTGTGTGAACTGTATTAAATTTAGACAAAAGATATATGGTAATACAGAATTAGAAATCTACTTTTAATGAAAACAACTTGTAGCCATTTTATTTGTTTTTCTTTAAGGAGAAAAAGTTAATAAAATGAAGCTTGAATGGTGACTAATTTCAATTAACAAGAAAAAAAAACAGTGTCTGTATGGCAAGACCAAAATAAACACATACTCTACATTAAAAATTTAGCTTAACCTCGCTAACTAAAATTAAGCTAAAAATTTAGCTTAACCTTTAGCTTAACCTTAGGGGCCTCGTTGCCTGGTGGATAGCGCGCAGGACTCGTAATTCTGTGGTGCGGGTTCGATTCCCGCACGAGGCAGAAACAAATGGGCAAAGTTTCTTTCACCCTGAATGCCCCTGTTACCTAGCAGTAAATAGGTACCTGGGAGTTAGTCAGCTGTCACGGGCTGCTTCCTGGGGGTGGAGGCCTGGTCGAGGACCGGGCCACGGGGACACTAAAAAGCCCCGAAATCATCTCAAGATAACCTCAAGATAACATTTTATGTATGACTTTTGTCCTCTGTTTCAATGTCAATTACAAAGTACTTATTATCTGAAAGTTCCCAGTATCTAAGATGCTTAAAGAAAATGGTATAGTGAATATAAACAATTGTTTGTGAAAGTGGCTATGTTACACACACGTATTCAATAAATAGATTAATTAGGAAAGTGAGATCTGGTTATTCTCAAAATCAGCTACCTAGAGGTATACAACTCGTGCAGATGTCCTAATACAGTAATTTGATTGTGTGATGCAGGCATTGAAGCACAAAGTGTTGACAATGATGCATTGAATCAATTCTAGTAGAACTTTAGCAAAATCGGTTGCAATGCTGAATTTTCCTCGATTCTGTCCTAACCTATTGGTGACTTCGGAGGCAATGAGATTTTTTTCATGCTTTGCCTCCTAGCCTTTTAGACCGACACACTAACTCTGAACATTAACTTGTTCATCATAATTTTTCTTAAAGTTGTAGATGAAATTGGCTTCAACAACCTCTTCCTTCAATGCATCCCACTGGCCAACTACCCACACTGGGAAAAATAACTTCCTTACATCTCTGCAATTCAACTGTGTCCCACTTCCACTGAAATCCATTTGTCCTACCTCCTAGTTCAAATAGGCTTCCTTTGCCTACTTTGTGTATTCCCTCAGGATCTTGTATGCAGTGATCATATCCCTTCTGTTTCCTTCTATCCTCTAAGATTGTGAAGGCGAGTTCCCTCAATCTATCCTCATTCCAGAGCCTACACAATTCTGGTGTTAAGTAATTCTCAAATAAAGTGCCAAGCCAGGAAGACCATATAGCCCCATCTAAGATGCAAGCTATTCAAAAGGCACTAAATGTTATTCAAGATGGCAGTAAGAGAACAAGACATAAGGTGAATGATATCAAAGGGATCAAAATTGCCAAGGATGCTAACAAGAGAACCAATCTCTAGGGAAATCAGGAAAGCAAGAAACACTAACATCTTGAAAATCAGGGCAATCGAAAAGACGCAAGACTGTGAGTGGGACAACACAGGACAAAAGGGGCAGGACGCTGTGTGACCAATAAGCAAGCCACAGCCATCTCCCAATGCCTATTACGGTGGAAGGAGGAAGGTCATGGGGGGAAAATTCATACTGAAGAGTACGTAGTTTATTACCTGTATCATCAGCCAACAACCCTCAATGGGTATGGATATTGGCATGAGTGATCGGGTAGAAATTTAAATAGAAAATCACCTTTTTTGGAAAATGTTGAAAGTGAATGGCTTCCTTTGCAGCTATGTCAACAAATTCATTTGAATCATAACAGTCTATGCCAAAAAATGCTACAAACACAGTACAAAGAAAACACACTGGAAAACTTACCAACTGTGTAGATAGGTTTTCGGAAGGGGACAATGCCGAAGCTATATTGAAACACGCCTCGGCCAATAAACATACACGGAGCCAAGCCAATGACTTTCTGAAGATTATTTTGAATTCGACGTATTAATGAACCTTCAGGATTAGCAACTTGATCATAGATCTCATTCTCACCAAAAGAAAACATTGGCACAAGCGAAGCACTGAAAGAAAAAAAAATTAACGTTTACATGTAAAAATTAAAATAGTGGCTGTAAAGGTTATAATAGAGTTGCCACACATTTACAAATAAGAATCAGAATACATTCAAGTTTCCCCATGATGCTAACTTGTGATAGTCTACCTACACTAAACTTGGCAGGACCATGTTAAATAAAACTTATCTCTTCAGTATAAGGTTAGCATCCGTCTCTATCATCAATACTAGTATTCTACACCAGTTGACTGGCTTACAGATTACGCATTCTGTGTAATCTGAAGTGTCAAACCTTCCAAGTGTCACCAGACGAGTTTTGCATATTCTTCTTCAGTAATGTATATTATTAGTTACTGCAAAGGTTGCTAAGTTATGGTTGGTTAGTTATAAAAATACTTATTGAAAAGACTGAAGCTTTGATAAAGGATTGAAACGATAAAATTATAGCCACGAAGAAAAGCAGACACTTTGCTCCACTTATGCAGAAATGACACACACTCTTAATGACTTATTTCAAAGAATTAGTAGCCAGATCAGGGATAGCGTCACTAAGCATGAAAAGGGAAACCGTATGCAACTTTCTCCAATCATAAAGCCCATCAACAAAAAAACTAGGAGTCCATGAAGTATTAATCAAAGATTACCTTATTACTGGGAACAAGAAATCTTTTCTTTACTGTAATTAAATTTGTTGACCAAATGACACACTAGAAATTGAAGAGACGACGACATTTCGGTCCATCCTGGACCATTATCAAGTCGATTGTGGTAATCGACTTGATAATAGTCCAGTCGATTGTACAGTAATTGATCAAGTCACAATCGACTTGATAATGGTCCAGGACGGACTGAAATTAACAGTCTCCGTGGTGTTGTGGTAAGACACTCGCCTGGCGTTCCGCGAGCGCTATGTCATGGGTTCGTATCCTGGCCGAGGAGGATTTACTGGGCGCAATTCCTTAACTGTAGCCTCTGTTTAACGCAACAGTAAAATGTGTACTTGGATGAAAAAACGATTCTTTGCGGCAGGGGATCGTATTCCAGGGACCTGCTTGAAATGCTACGCGTACTAGTGGCTGTACAAGAATGTAACAACTCTTGTATATATCTCAAAAGTGTTGTCATCTTTTCAATTTCTAGTGTGTGGTTTAGTCAACATTTTTCAGCCACGTTATTGTGACTTCATCTGCATAATTAAATTTACTATATTCAAAGCACACACTCAATATATGTATTTTAATAATTGTCAACCTGTATTGAATATACTCTCTAAGACCTAAATCAACATAAACACCAGAGTCTATCGCTAAGTATGCATAAACCCATAAATGCACATGTAAAAATGCCTATTTGAGGAAACAGTTTTTATTATACCGTATGAAAGATTCATTCCATCACTCGAGTGCCAAATGTACATTTCAAATACCAACTTATTACCATAAATACCACCATGATCATTACAGGATATTAAACTCTGTTAAGACCTTGTAACATGTAGCCATTTCAAATAAATAAAGACATTTACTACTGCAAAGTAATCCTCTTAACCAGGTATTTTTTAATGTGTTAAATGGGAGACATTCTTGAATAGTATCAGAAAAGTATAGAATATTTCATACAAAGGACTGCATGGTCAAAATGCCTCCAAGTACAGTACTTAAGTGGCAACAAGTTTTTCAGGCATTCCAAGATAATAGACTAAATTCAATGGGTAGACTCATCAGAATTAGAACAGATGAAAGTTTTGAAATTAAAAATATTACAATTCATTACGATACATATATTGATACGCAAGGCAAACTTACCCATGTCTGAGAGCCATCTTGCAGAAACCTTTGCGTTTGTTGAGGTGCAAAACGACAGTGCCAGGATGGCAATCCAGGGACTCCTTTGCCCCACCTACCACCAGGCAGAGGGCACGTCCACTTCCTTCCTGGCCTAACAGGTAATCCATACTCTCTCGTGTAGCACTCACAGCACCTAAAATAACAATGCAAAATAATGCTAAAAAATATAGTATGTTACAGAAAAAAATTTGCGGGTAGCTACATTATACTTTGAAATTCTTCTCTTAAGTACTGCTCAGGAAGTTTAACTAAAAGCAGTTGATCCAGATGAAGTTCTCATCTTAAATATTAACTGAAGGTGCATCAGAGCTAAGTGCCCCAACTAAAGATTATCTTCCAAATATCCTTACAAACAGGGATCCAAGCAACAGGTGGGAAAAAGGCAGAGTTCCAAACTATATGAATGGAAAACCCACTAAATTATAGATCTATACCATTGACAAGTATGGTAGTAAAAGAACTAGAAAGATATTAAAATCAAATGAACAAAGTACTGTACCTGGAAAGTAACATAATACAGTTTGGTTTTCAAATGGAACGGTCTTGCATAAGAAATCTACTTCGTTTCTACGATACATCCACAAAAATATTGCAAGATAGAAAAGGCTTGGGCTGATTGTGTATATCTATAACTAGAGGAACCCTTTGATTAGAGTCCCACACAAGACTATTTCGTAAGTTAGAACATATTGCAGAGGTGGCAGGCACTTCTAAATTGGACGATGAATTTTTTAACACAACTAAGTAGTGATAGACCATTAGAATAAGTTACTGGTAAGCAAGGTGGTGGTGGATGCCAAAGCCATCAAGAGTTTCAAAGCATTACATATGACATTATTGGGAAAATGGAACACCACAAGCGTAGCTGGCATCCTGTAACACACAAGCACTAGTGTACATATGCGTGTATGGAGGAGAAGGGGAGATAAATCTTAGCTAGAGTAATTACAATCCCCCCCCCCTATACACACACATGCATCCACACACAAATACAGTACATACATATAAAGAATTTTTATTACAGTCCAAGATTAAAAAGTAATAAGTACACATTAATTGTAGAATAAAATCAGTTCTACACAGAGCACTATGTCGGTGCATGACACATATACAAGTAGACACACACTGGTCAAAGCAATTTGTGAGATGACAGATAGGCAAGACTTTGAAAGACCGATGAACAGGGTGATCACAAAGACTTGTATGAATATGCAAATTGGCAGCATTTTTACTTACTTTGATCATCAGAAACTATGTAATCATCTACAACAATCACTACAACTTCACATACAGCACATCTAAACTCACCAGTGGAATTCTATTTCTACTGCAAGAGTAATTGCTACATTTACAACTTTAACAAATGAAGGATACTAAACAAATCTACTTCATTTCTTTATATTTCTTAACATACATTAGCATCTTATTTACTTGTATAAGTAAGTAATTATCAAAAGAAGGCACCAAACCGGGAAGACTATGTAGCACCATCAAATGTGCGGAATAATCAGAGCCTCTAAATATCACCAAGGATGCCAATACGAGAACAGAAACGCACAAGGCGAATGATATCAAAAGTAACCGATTCACCAAGAATTCTATCGAGGGACAAGTGACCCCGAGGATGATCGGAAAGCAAGACACACGCTCGTCCTGGAAGTCAGGACATTCAACAAGGATATGCACGACTGTAAGAGGGACAATGCAATTTGGACAATACAGAGCAGGGCGGCGCTCCATTAAGTGACTGAGTTAAGCGAGTATGGCCAATACGCAACCTTGCCACAGCCGTTTCCAACCACCGGTTACGGTGGCAGGAGGAAGGCCAAGGGGGGGACACTACGTTGTCCAGACCACACACTAGAAGGTGAAGGGACGACGACGTTTCGGTCCATCCTGGACCATTCTCAAGTCAATTGTGATGAAGTAGATGCAGGCAATAAATAGGGTAGAGAGAGGTGAGGAGCAAAGTGTAGTAGAGGAGGTAGTAGTAGGAACTGCAAAGGGCCTATTGGCCCATACAAGGCAGCTCCTATTATAACCACCAAATGAGAAGGAGATAGTAATAGGAATAAGAAGAGGATAGTAAGGGAACAAAGAAAACATAGAACAGAAAAAGAGAGAAATTAAAGGAAAGAGAAAGAAAGATGGTAGGGTAAGCTATGTTAGGTCACGTTTGTTAGAAAGATTAGAGCATTTAAGTATATACTGTGAAAGGGAAGAGTCCACAGCAACAAAGCCAGGACTCAAGTTCATGTTGGGTACAGTGTGTATTAGAGCCGATTCAACAAGACGGCGTTTATGTAGAGTAGAGGCAGGAAAGATTATTTTGGAGGAAGACCAATCAATAGGATGATTGGAATCCTTCACATGACAGAAGAGAGCATTGTTAGTGTCTGCAGACTTAACACTTCTCTTGTATTCTTTAAGTCTGTCATTCAGTGTACGGCCAGTTTCGCCAAAGTATTGGAGAGGACAAGACGAACAGGAAATACAGTAGACACCAGCAGCATTAGAAGTATGAGGAGCAGTGTGAACTAGATTGCTACGAAGTGTGTTAGTTTGTCTAAAGGCGAGCTTTATGTCAAGAGGACGAAAGGTATTGGTAAAAGTTTTGAGTTCAGATATGAAGGGAATGCATAGTACAGCGCTAGCAATTGTTTCATCCTAAACCTGCTTTCAAGCAGGTTTAGGATGAAAGAAATTGCGTTTTGCTCGAGAGTAGGCACAGTTGATGAAATGCAAAGGGTAACCAAGGCGAGAGAATGATTTGTAGATAAAGGCAATTTCAGAATCAAGAAACTGAGGGTCGCTGAGGCGTAGAGCGCAGAGGAAGAGAGAGATGAGGACACTTTTCTTAACAGAAGGAGGATGGTAGGAAAAGAAGTGAATGTACATGCCACTATGCATGGGTTTGCGGTAGACAAAGAAAGAGAACCCGGACACAGAGCTGTGAACGTCGAGAAAAGGAAGGAGGGAATTAGATTCCCACTCAACTTTGAAATGGATAGAAGGAGCCAGATTGTTAAGAGAGGAGAGGAAAGGCTGGAAAAGACTAAGGTCATGAGGCCATAAAGCAAAATTGTCATCAACATAGCGAAGTCAGAGAGAGGGACGAGTATCAATAGAAGGAAGAAGAACAGTTTCGAAGTATTCCATGTAGAAATTAGCAAGAACAGGGGGAGAGAGGGGAACCCATAGCGACACCGAACGTTTGAGTGTAATAATTACCGTTGAAAGAGAAAGAGAGTCAACAGAGAGTCTAATGAGTTCGAGGAAAACGTCAGTGGGAAGCGGGAGAGGAAGAAGGCCCTCTGACGCCTTCTGTCTAAGGAAAGGGAGAACATCATCGAGGGGAACATTAGGAGTCGATATCAAGACTAAGCATCTGACAAGAGGGTTGCAGGCACAGTCTTTCTATGAAGTCCTGAGAGTGATGAAGGTGGGCAGGGGAAAAAGTACCAAGGTAAGGCGTCAGGGTTTTAGCGAGCCAGGAGGCAAGAGGATAGCTGACAGAGCCCCGTGAAGAAATGATAGGACGAAGAGGAACACCAGGTTTATGAGTCTTAGGAAGACCATAGAAATAAGGAAGAGAAGGGCAGATGACACGGAAACGTTTAATGAGATCAAAGTCAGGAGGACAAAGACTAGAGAGCTGTCTTAATTTGCGGTTAAAGGAAGTTTTGAGGCAATCCAAAGGGTTACAAGTCAGAGGAGCATAAGTGTGAGAGTCAGAACAAGACATCTGCTTTTCGGAGGTAGTCCTCACGGTCAAGGACAACCACCGAATTGCCTTTGTCGGAAGGAAGGATAAGAATAGTTATATTAGATTTCAGGGAGGCAAGAGCAAGCTGGAAGCGACGAGGAAGGTGGTGATTTTTAGAAAACAAGCTGTCAAGAATGGGGATAAGGGCCCCTCTAAAGGCGGACAGGCCCGAAAGAGTACTAGAGTTAGAATTGACAAACCTGTCAAAGGAACTGATGAGATCAATGCCACAGCGTGGGCCAGGGGAAGTAGCAAAAGAAAGACCAAAGCCAAGAAGTTCTTGCTGGTGCTTAGAAAGAGGGTAGGATGAAAGGTTGGTAACAGTCAGAGAGAGAGTATTTGGTCCAAGGACTGTTGGAGATCAAGCGTTGAAGTTGGTATTACCTAAGGTTCTCACAATTCTACAACAGATGTAGTCCTGTTACCCACTACGTGGTTCAAGTTCAGTTGTATGTGGTATCCAGGCTGCATTGAACAATATTGGCACATCAACAATTTGCATGCTACTTATTAAATTATTGTATATTGAAAAGAACAATTCTCTTGTCAACCACTGAGGTAAGTTATTGGTTGTTTTCATGCTATCGTGCTTATCTGTCATCCAGTTTTCTCAAGTTATCTCATGTTATTTCTTGCAAGCAATGCAATGTTTAAATAGCAAATGCAGTATTGTATGGTAAGGATTTGGCATGAAATTAAAATATAGCATAACAAATATATACAGCATATGTATATATAAAAAAACTAACTGTACATCTAAAACTGGGGTAGATATCCAAGTAGGCATAAAAAATATACTTGTGTATTTATCATCACAGGAATTGCCAATTAGCCCACTCAACAAATTGTTAATTGGCCACTTCGGTGCTACCTTTGATTGTCACAACACTACAATGGCCGAGGCAAGCTCGAAGCTCAGATTTAAGTACCTTATTTTCTTCTTTTGAAACCTAGATTTGAAACCTATGAGCTCATGCTGTGTAATTGTCAAAACATCACTACTGTTTACATTTATTTGGAATGCTTCTTATTTAGTGGGCCCCAATGCTCTCTAGTGTGTGGGTTTGGTGTGTGCATCACTGGGGGATCCATCACCACCAAGCCAGTCTACTGGCATGCCTTCATGTTAACACCCGACCAAATCTAAGTGCAAACTACATTATGTATTGTACACAATCTTAACTAAACTCAAATGGCATTTCACAAATTATATTATCACTAATTAAAAAAAAAAAAACTACAAGTGAATCAATTACTGTATTACCCCATATGTTATTGCCACTTATCCATGCCCAAAGGGATCTTTTCTACAGTAGTGCAGAATCAAATTTTAGTACTGTATTCATAAAATACAAATCAATTTAAATACAAGAACTTTTTATACAAGTATCTCCACTAATGACAACTGAAAATGCATACTCAAAACTTTCAAAACAGAGGTGAAAATATAGCCAAGCCATGATCATTCTATTCCTTTGAACATTAATGGCAATGCCACTGACAAGTAGCACAAACCAAGTACTTTACGTATCGGAATATATTCCAGTAGTGCTCCCTCAGAAATCTGGATTATATAGTTCTGGACTTTTCATGTCAAACTCAAAATAAAAATGAACCATAGAATTTAGTTTTAATTATGCATAATAGGTTTCCCTACAGCATTAATGGTTTCTCCTAAGTTTGCAACCATGTTTGAAAATCATTAAGAGCACATTCTGAGTAACATTGAATGGATTACTATTCATACTCCGACTTTACAACTTTCTACAGGCAAATTGTACAAAATGAAATTTACATTTCTACCTATTATATGGTTGACATATATCTGTAAAATGTTCATCTAAAAGTGTACCTCTTCGGCACGACAACCATTCTCCCAGGAAGAGCACGGGGCCTGCAAGCAACTGTGGAAGCTAGTGATGAACTTGCCCACAGGCAGCCAATCAGGGATCAGTGTACCAAACTAGACTTCTCACTGATCCTGGCGATGGTCTAATTAGTCTAATTAATAGCAAACAATGCCCAGCAAGAATCGGGTACACTCCAAACACACTAGGAGAAAACTCTCCTTTTAACCCCCACCCTGCAATCTATCTTGAGGTTATCTTGAGATGATTTTGGGGCTTTTTAGTGTCCCCGCGGCCCGGTCCTCAACCAGGCCTCCACCCCCAGGAAGCAGCCCGTGACAGCTGACTAACACCCAGGTACCTATTTTACTGCTAGGTAACAGGGGCATAGGGTGAAAGAAACTCTGGCCATTGTTTCTCGCCGGCACCTGGGATCGAACCCAGGACCACAAGTCCAGTGTACTGTCCGCTCGGCCGACCGGCTCCCCATTATTAAATCATTACCCATTAGTGGGTAAATTTGTTTCATTGCCTAGAGGGATTTATATGGAGGCCTGGATATTCAAGGGAGCAGTGTATGTCATCACATTCAAAATTTGGGGTTTCTAACACATCTCATTACGACGCACCAATGAAAGGATACAAACCAAGAGAGAAATGGTCATATCTGTCAAAATGCATAACCATATATTTTTTTAAATATTTAATCAATTTCAAACCCAGCATTTGCTTAACTCATCAATACAATAAATATTCAAGCAATTTTCAGCATAACCTTATAACTTACTGTATCAAATCTTTGAAATATAAAATACATACTGTATTACAAATTGTTAGGTTAAGATCATAGGAGTCTATACAAATTTAACCATTTCAAGAGATGTATAGTATAAAGCTATTAAATTTTATCATGCATTTTAAATGAGGTACATGTATCATTTTTAAAACTACTCCCCACAAAGAATTCATCATGGTTTAAGTCACCGAAGGCCCATTACAAGCATTACACACAAATACTCCCGTCGATACCAACACAGGGTGATCCAAGCTAATATTTGGTCTTCTTGTAAAGCTTACAAATACTAACCAGAAGCCATGAAGAACTCTCTGTAGAAGGGGAGATGAAAATGGCCATCCAATGTAAGCAGGTGAGGAGTGATGCCCCGGAAAGTCTGTCGTGAAAGATGCATACAATATCGTGGATTAATAGTGAAGTGCAGTCTCAGTCAATTGTTACTCTAGTGTACTAACCAGTAGACATGAAGAATTCTCTGTAGAAAGGAAGAATGATTTGAGCTTCCAGTGTTAGCAGGTAAGGTGTGAATCCTGGGAACCTCTGTGGTAGCAGTGCAATAGACAGAAAAGCATATTAGCAAGCCACTACAAGCTTAACTAATGAAGTAAAGAAACATCTCTTAGTGTAAATACATATCAATTGTATAAAAAAAAAGTCAATCAATTAATCCGTGACATGCATAGATAATATAAAGCACAAAATCTGTAGGGGAAATAGGGAAACCGACACCTTTAAATCCAAGCTCATGAAATCTAACAATCATTCCATCATTCCTATTACACACAATTTACACACTTGGCACCACTGTAATAATGCAAGTTTGAATCACTCCTGTATACAATAATGTATTTTAAAAATTTGTGTGTACCTAAATGTGCACGCCAAATGCACAATGCAGCAAAAGGAATAAATGAGAACCATTTGACCCTTGAGAGAATGTATCCAGGTAATTAAGGTTAATTCTGTAGTTCCCAGTCAATTTTTCCGAATCATGCCAAATACCAGTCCAAACGGTAAAGCAAAAAATGATGTACCTGTACATAAATGAATTATCCACTAATTATCCAATGTTTTTCCATATTCATTAGATATTACACAAAATTTAATAAACTTGTTAATGTTTATATTAAATGTAATTTTTACTAAGACTATTTAAAATATATATATTTTATGTATTCTTCTGTCATTACTATTACACTATGTTTAAAAAATGATATTGTTGCTCTTGGTATGAAGTTACAAAAGCTCTTGTAATAAAACATAAAACTGCACATTGATGAAAGCCCTTTTCTCAACACAATGTTCCTTCCCTGGCGATCCTCTTCGTCAGCAGGTCGTGCACCAGTGTTATTATGCTCATTACATACAACTACTGTACCTTCTTTTTAGCTTCTCCATGAACTATCAATTTCTCAAATGACACATTAGTCCATAATATAACTGCAAAAATCCAGTGAAAACAAATAAATTGGTGACATTGAAATTAATCGGTATAAATATATTTGCAGCAACTCCTGCCATGCGCCTGGTCTGGGGTGGCTATCTCCACAGAGTGCCTGATGCATAATACAGTACAGTACTCACGAAATGATGACGTCATTGAGAGTTAATCCCTCCACCACAGCCAAAGCTACACAAAGCGGGACCAAAGAGCGAGAGCCCAACCCCCACAAGCACAACTAGGTGAGTGCATGCAATTTTTTTTGTTTCATTTTCCTGTGATCATTTTAACAATAATAATACAAAAAACCAGCGTTGAATGTAATGAAACGCCATTTTCTGGGTGTGATCCAGTGGCTCCCCGGAGCTTACTAGGCTGATATGCTAATGTCAGACTTTGGCATCAGTCATGTGTATGGAGTTCTGTGGGCCTACCGGGGTCCACGAGCCAGAACCTGGCCCCCCTCAAAGAGGCATGGGAAGCAATGGCCTATAGAAACCTGTGTGGTTGGGAGCATTCTATGTCTGCCATCGACCGGGTCTGGCACCCAGAAAGGTAAGCATCCCAAAACAAACCCCTATTCTGGTGAAAATATTGCTACCAAAAACTGAACAAGTGAATAGAACTCCCCTAAAAAGAAACAAGCAAACGATCATGACGTCACACGTCGCTGCACCACTGTCTGCGCAGCTCCCCCCTCACTGGGAGGAGGAAGGGGGAGCCCCAGACCCCCCCCCTACGCTGGCTATTCACCCATCAGTTCTGAAGCTGGATGTCAAAACACGCGAAAAAACATCGACCGGAGGGAGGGAGGGAGGGATGCCGGGGAGCCTCTAGGTCACACCCAGAAAATGGCATTTCATTACATTCAATGCTGGTTTTCTGGGGGGGGGGGGAACCCAGTCAGCTCCCCAGAGATAACTACCCACAGAGGAAAACAAAAGGGACTTACCCGGGAGACGGTCGTTGCTCACTCCTCAACTCAAAGTCGAAACAACTGGCTGCAACCGCCGAACCCATAGCGACACAGGCCAGACTGGGCCCCGGAACGTTCACGAGGTAACGAGCAGCCAGGACCCTGTTTGACCGCCAAAAGCCCCGTGCCCAAATGTCAGCCAAGGACATGTTGCCAAAGACAGCAGCAAGAGCAGCAAACTTACGAACATCATGGACACGGGGATAGACCGCAGGCTGGCTAGCCTTAACTATGCAGACGACCTGGGAGCGAGAACCGCACCCGTGAACTGGGAAGGGAAACCGGACCAACCCAAAGCACGTCTACAGACACAGAAGCCGTGGTGCGCAAATAACGGCAAAGGGCCGCAACCGGACACAAAACATGATGCACCCCTGGTCTAACCAACCAAGCATCAACAACCCAGGGACCCCTCCGGAAAGCAGCAGTTTCATTCTTCGCCAGAAAAGAAGGAGATGGCTGCAGAGGAACAAAACCATCACAAATACTGAAAGAGCAGAAACCCCTGCGCCGGAGGAGAGCATGAAGCTCCCCGACCCAACCCCCAGAGGCCAATGCCAACAGAAAAAGAGCCTCGGAGAAACAATCTTGAACCGAAGGGGCCACAACAAACCGAGAACAAAGAAGAGAGCATTCTGTCCAACGACCAGGACAGCTCAGGCAGCGTATGAGCAGGCCGGAGGTGAAACAACGCACGAGACAGCTTGTGAAAAGGAGCAGAAGTACGTAACACCAAGACCGAAAGCAAGCTGTGGCGGCACTGCCAGCGCCGCATGATACGAGGCGACAGTGTTAGGCATAAGATGATGGTCCTGAAACAACCAAGAGAGAGAAAGGACAACACGACCCTAACAGAAAGCAAAGTACAACGACGAAGACATAAAAAGAACCGGAAGGACCGGTTCATACAGGAAACTTCATACTGCTGCTGAGATGAAGCCCGCAGGTAGGACACTAACAAGGAAGCCACCTGATCGCCATAAAGATGATAAACTCGAGTCAAAAGACCATACGTGAAGACTCGAGGAGAAGATCGAACCATCCACGTGATGCTCCGGTCCGATCTGCTGGAAGAGGCGGAGCCGCGGGAAAACCTCCAGGTTCAGACACCGAGCAATTAAACAGCGCAACAGAGGTAGAACCCAAGGAACTTGTGGAACGCAACCCCAAGCCCCAAGGGCAGTACTTACAGGGCACCTAGGGAAGGTAACCCTAGGCGCATGCAGCCTGCGTACTGTCGAATAACTCCTGGCTCTCGCACCCCTGGAAGACAGCCACCACACTCGAAGTACAGTGCTGAAAGACCACTGGAGCCAGAGCACACGACATCCGCCTCTAGCATCAGCCTTACAACTGATGGGTGGACAGCTGGCATGGGGGGTGGTCAGGGGCTCCTTTCCCCCTCCCAGGGAGGGGGGAGCTGCACAGACAGCGGCGCGGTGACGTGTGACGTCACGATCGTTTGCTCGTTTCTTTTTAGGGGAGTTCTATCCACTTGTTCGGTTTTTGGTAGCAATATTTTCACCAGAATACTGTAGGGGTTTGTTTTGGGATGCTTACCTTTCTGGGTACCAGACCCGGTCGATGGCAGATATAGAATGCTTCCAACCACACGGGGGTTTCTATAGGCCATTGATTCCCATGCCTCTCTGAGGGGGCCAGGTTCTGGCTTGTGGTCCCGGGTAGGCCCACAGAACTCTATACACATGACTGATACCAAAGTCTAACATTAGCATATCAGCCTAGTAAGCTCCAGGGAACCGACGGGGCACACCCCCAGAAAATAATGTTTTAGAATAAAAAAATTTTCTTGTGCACCGAGGATTTGTCATATAAATCAGGCGTGCATTTTTAATGATGTTCATAGTTAAATGAAACACAAGGAGAAACAGTTGGTGCCTTGGGAAAGCCATTAAGCATATTTAAAACAATTCCAATGTTCACTGCCATTTAATGTTGTTATACAATTTTGTAATAAAGAGCCAAGGACAATTATTCAGAAATCTGAATCTGGGTTCAAAAGAATATGATAGATTTTGGAGGTCACAGTGGTCACATAACTTTGCAACACTAGCCCAGATGTGCTCGACTGTGGAGTTTGCTGGACACGACTTAACATTTATCACCACCAGATAACTCACCAATACCCCTAGCATTTGACCCTTGGCAATTATGTGACACCTGAATTGTAGTGTACAGCACTTCTGGTGATAAGGAATATCAACACCCAGGATAAGTTTGATAACGTATATTGAAAGCACACCCCCTCACAGCAATAGTGGAAGGGTAACCAGATACTTCAGTGGGGGTGGGGGGAGGGGGAGAGATCTGCCTGGAGAGTTACTACAGTATTAATGTTTATACAATTAGTAAAATTACCACCCAGCTTATGAAAGTGTGATAACACAAACTCAAGATAGCTTCTTCCAGAGTAACAGAGTAATAGGATAGAAAACTTGTGGTGGTGTAGTGGTTGCACACAATCACCACACCTTGCAAGCGATTTCACCTGGGTTCGTGCCCTGGCCAGGGACGATTGACTTCGTGCCTATCCTTAACTGTTCACACTTTCCCAAGGAGTAATTGAGGACATACAGTAGTTGTTAACTGAGTGACATGTTATGCTCTTTGGAAAAGTAGTAGAGGTAAGGCTTAACAAGAGCTTTTACCCATACCGTATGGGAGCCGGTCGGCCGAGCGGACAGCACGCTGGACTTGTGATCTTGTGGTCCTGGGTTCGATCCCAGGCGCCGGCGAGAAACAATGGGCAGAGTTTCTTTCACCCTATGCCCCTGTTACCTAGCAGTAAAATAGGTACCTGGGTGTTAGTCAGCTGTCACGGGCTGCTTCCTGGGGGTGGAGGCCTGGTCGAGGACCGGGCCGCGGGGACACTAAAAAGCCCCCGAAATCATCTCAAGAGATCCATGAAAAAAATATCAATGTAGAGCTAAGTACACCATATCGAGGTTAGAGAATGAATTCAAATACCATATGAAGACAACAAAATTCAAATTTCCCACAACTCTTCTTCTGCAGGCATCCAAGGTTCACTCGTCTCCTAATGTATTACATGTACACGTACTGTAATTACAAAAATTACAAAAGACTTTGGAATAAAAGTTAATCCATATTCTAAAAACATTTTTTTACAATAAAATTCTGAATAAACAGCATGCAATGATAGAGCAAATATGGTGGTTAATGCCTTGGCAAACTACAACTATCCCTACCTTACTAAAGTTTGATCCTTCAGTAGCAAAATGGCAAAATGCTCCAGCAGCGAGGATGCCATGAGGATGGTATCCCATAATGTAGTTCTTATAGGGATCGAGCTCGGCAGTTTTAATAAGGTGGATTGGGAAGAAATCTCGATAGTGCTTCCACAAACACCACCGTCGCACCCACTCAATCCTATGACATTAAAAAAGTACAAGTATCCTAAGGTTAATAGCGTCACACTGTAATTATTAGGTACAAATATTGGGGTACAGATGTTAATGCAAGCTTTCCCTAAATCGTACTTAGTAGTAGCAAAGTTTTGCTCATGACAGACAAGACAACACTTCAGCATCACACCATGACAACAGGTAACATCAGTAGAGCTCTAGCCAGACAAAGAATCATCACCTACCTCCTGCCACCCCTGTTGCGGATGGTACGATCTCCAAGGAACCACGTCAAGTAGCATAGGGAAACCCACCTGTCAAATATATAGAGCTATAACACAAATACATCCATCATCTGTTAATGCTTACACTGCTTCAATTGCTTTCCGAGGTTACCTCCTGTGCACATACCTGGAGCGGGTTTTGGGAGTTCGTCTACTCCCCGAGCGGAGCCTGAGGCCAGGCTCGACATCACCAAATGTGACTGATTATACAGTACATACAATACATTTTCAATAAATTTTCCCATGCACAACACACTGTAGGAGTTTTAAATAACTTAGCAGTTTAAGGGTTAAAGTATACATTGTACTGAATATAAAAGTGATTCACTGTTGAAGCATAATTAATTTAAAGGGAAAAAATATTACTACATGGCTGTGCATATTTAACAAAGTAAATCACACAAGATTTAAAGAAAGTGCAGTACAGTACTCATAATCTTAGTATACAATAGTTTTTACAGAAAAAATTACTGTGCTTCAAAAAAAAAAATTAAGCTAGAACAACTATTACAACTCACCAATATTCTGTATATAAGAAGAGGTAAATAAGAAATATGAGGGAACCAGCACCCATGAAGAGAAATGTTGACATCCAAAAGAGAACAGCCAACGTCTGTAAACGTCGACTGAACGGGATGTTGAGAGGCGCAAACTGAGGTCCATGGCTGATACCGAAGTTAAGAACACGACCTATTGCTCCGAACACCCATGGCAACCTGTTAAAAGCAAGATCTCACTATGAATCCATATTTCATAAATTTGAAATACAGTATAGTCATAATTTATTCATGTTAGTTAATATACACATATGATAATACAGAAGGCCTTTGATTTGCATGTACAATATTTGACAGATACAGTAGTTGTGATATGTTGTATAGATGAAGCAAATGCTTGAGAGCTGCTAGTGAGGCCACAATGCATTTAAGTCATCAGCCACTTAGACATGTTACTGGTATTTTTGTTTTAAGTGGCGTAAAAAATATTTTGATTAACATTTTTGAAAAATTCAGTTACAGTACTGTACTGAAATTAAATCTAAGTTTATAAAATTACACCACAATATTCTGGTCTCTGTGGACAATCTGGTTTGTAGATACAATAATTAGAAATTTTAATAAATATATGCTGGTGACTTATGTTTTGGAGCATCAACCGACTGTCTGCCATGCAGCTAACAAATAAATCTGGAGACTGTACGATGAAATCAAACCTGCAACTCTGATCATCTCTAGGAGACAATATTGATTGAGGTGATCAGAGGACACAGATTCAATTCCTTCGTACAACCGCAATTCATTAATTCATAATGCTATTGTGATTTTCATTGTCCACCTAGTTAATTGTGGTATCACACATGATCACTAGTCAAGAAAATTTCATAGTGTTACAACCAGGGTGGTCTGTTTACAAGAAACATCGAGTTTGCATAAAATACACGAGTTGACGGTTAAGTCTGTTGCTGGCCTGCAGAGTTGGTGGTGGTATGACAAATTATTTAATATGTAAACTGCTGGCTGTACTTCAGAACTTTCACTTAGTAGTTGACTAAATAGTAAGCAGCTAGTAAGTTTGCTATTTTGTAGTGTTTTTTGTAAGTGTTTGGCCACAATATAAGAGAACTTTGACAGTTATGGGTCGAACGTTTCACAGTATGCTGCCTGGAGAGGCAAGCAGATTCAATTTGGTCCTGGCAGTTTATAAGGGAAGTTGCACAAGTTTTGCTGCATTAATTTCCTCTAAGTCCAATTCTTTTATGTATCTGTCACTGTGCTTCTATTAATAAATTTTTACTTATACTGTAAATGCAACTTACAGTTTATTCAGTGTTTGTATTTAGGAAGAGTGACCTGTAAGAGTATGCTGTACTAGTGTATGTGTGTTTAAGGCTGTTTGGTTATTAGTTCTCTCACCAGTGTTAATTCTTGCCTAGCTTATTGTGGGTGTAAATCCTGGCTTCTATCAAAAGGGACTATTGGATTTTAACGTAAATGTCAAGAGGCCAGATCATTTGTTATGGTTGTGGGAGTGGGGTTTTGTTAAGGAATAAATTGTTATCCATACGTCTTTTTACCCTCTGGGCTTGATGGGGGAGCAGCATACTTCTAGACGTTAAACTTTGGGAGTTTCATCCCCGAGGGCCAGGCCTAGCATCCTTACCAAGTTAGGCAGTTGTTCCAGTTGGTGTTACACTGTAAGCCTTTTCCACAGCCGATTTGGTAATTTTAGGGGATTTTGATTCGTTTTATTACAGTATTTATACAAATACCCATTCACATCCCCATTAGCCACCCATAACACATGGCCACCTTGAGAATTTGACTGAGCTGATTTTACAGCATTTTCAAGTTTTAAAAGCACTTTTGTTACTTGTGTTACATGATGATAGATTTCTAGTTTCATGAGAGCACACTTACCTCATGTGAAGGTGTTGAACTTTGCTTTCTAATTCTTATGCTTAATCTTTGTTTGAGCTTCATCTTACATGTCTTTGATTGTCCTAACCTGACATCCCAGGAACTTGCATCGTTTCATGCACATGTTATCCGATCAGCCCTAAAACTCTCATGACAGTATGCTGCTCACATAAATAGGGAGAGTTGGCTCTTTAGTGGGGTTGGGACACAATGATGACATGGTTCAATTTTATTGTTAACAAAGGAGGAAGGCATGTCATGACCTACTCAAGCAGTGGTTACAACAATCCAATTTAACATTTGTATTTTTTGCTTGCTCTGCTGCCTGCTTGTGTTTTTCAAATATTTACTACTAAATATAAAGGAATGGCGAAATCGCCCCCCTCCCAACACACACACACATCCATGGTTCAATCAGGAATGTAAGGTAGCAAAGCAATTGAGTGCAAGAACATTGAGAAACTACAGGATTAACAGAACACCACAGAGCAGGGAGAAATACCAAAGGGTCAGGAATGATTATCTCAGTGAGGAGAGAAACAGAGACAGTATGAAAAGGATATTTCGAATAAAGCCAAGACCCAACCAAAACTGCTCCACAGCCACATCAGGAGGAAAACAGCAGTGAAGGAACACGTGATGAAACTGAGAAAAGGGGAGAACAAATACACAGAGAATGACAAGGTGTGTGTGAAGAGCTCAACACGAGATTCCAGGAAGGCTTCACAATAGAACAAGGCAAAGCCCCTGCACTAAATGAGGTGGCAGCAAATCAAGCAACCTTGGAGGAATTTGAGCTCACCAGTGATGAGGTCAAAAGGAATCAGTTGGAGTTGAATGTGACAAAGGCTGTTGGGCCTGATAGAATCTCACCATGAATACTAAAAGAGGGTGCAGAAGCACCAGTGTGCCACTCTCTATGGTGTATTAGAAACAGGAGAGGGCCATTGGCCCTATATTAGAAACAAACAGGGCCATTGAAAACAGGAGACCTACCGGGAAGCTGGAAGACAGAAAATGTAGTCCCAATACACAATAAGGGTGACAGGCAAGAGGCACTGAACTACAGGCCAGTTTCCCTAACTTGTATACCATGCAAGGTGATGGAGAAGATGAGCGAGGAAAAGGCTCGTAGAACATCTAGAGGGAAATAGCTTTGTAACACCACCAGCATGGGTTTAGGGATGGTAAATCGTATCTGACAGGCTTAATAGGTTTCTATGACCAAGCAACAAAAATTAGGCAAGAGAGAAGGGCGGGCAGACTGCATTTTCTTGAATTGTCAGAAATCCTTTGACACAGTACCCCATAAAAGGCCGTTACAAAAATTGGAGAAACAGGCAGGAGTAAAAGCTAAGATGCTCCAGAGGATAAGAGTATCTAAGCAACAGGAAACAGCGAGTAATTGTGAGGGGGAGACATGAGAGTGGTGAGATGTCATCAGCAAAGTTCCACAGGGCTTTGTACTTGGACCCATCTTGTTTAATATATGTAAATGATCTTTCAGTGGGTATAGATTCATTCCTCTCAATGTTTGCCGATGATGCAAAAATTCTCAGAAGAATCAAAACAGATGAAAATAGAAAGACTACAGGATGATCTGGACAAACTAGAGGAATGGTCTAGAAAATGGCTACTAAAGTTCAACTCGGGAAAGTGTAAAGCAATGAAATTAGGAGTAGGGAGCAATGAAAGTGGATGCATAGAAATACAGGGGTACCTCAGTTTAAGAGTTTAATCCGTTCCTGGAGACAGCTCGTATTCCGAAAACTCGTATTCCGAAGCTTATTTCCCCATAAGAAATAATGGGAAATGAATTAATCCGTTCCCGAATACCCCAAAAACCCCACATCAAACTAAATTTTTATACCTAATTCATCTAAATAAACCTACAAAACTATGTTCAAGCTATTACTTACATTGCTTTTGAATGCTGTAGGCGTATGGAAGATGGTGAGGAGGGGGGAGGAGGAGAGGAGTTACTGTTTGGAAGAGGAGTCCCCTTCCATTATCACATCAGGCAGTGAGGACTTCACTGGTGAGCACACACTGGCACATTTTGCCTGCATACCACTAGGACTTGTTTGTCTTACTAAGAATCTGTCTAAAGACACTTGTTTTTCCCTACATTGTAACACTTGTCTGTAGTAAGATATCACATTGTCATTTAAAAGGTCAATGCAACGGCCTGCTACAGCTTTATCTGGGTGAGTTTTTTCAACAGAACTTTGCAGCTCTTCCCATGCTTCACACATTTTCTTAATCAAGAAGGGACATCCTCTACTGCCTCTACTCACAGCTATTTTCTTAGGTTGAACCTTATCAATGACTTTCTTGAGACCCATGGCGAGATATATAATAACTTTTATGCTCAAATGGCCAAAAAAACGACATAAAACTGTAAATCCTTGTGAAGAATTCAGGAGGGATAGTCACTGGGCGGGAGACAATGGTAAACTGAGGGGCGGAGGGGCGACGATCGCCGTACCACCACGCGCTAGGTCGGCCTGAACGCGTATCAACAAACTCGCGTTCCGAGGTAACCCTCGCCTTCCGAGACACATTTTCCGAGGAAATCCGGCTCATTCCGAAAAACTCGCATACAGGGACACTCGTGTTCCGAGGTACCACTGTAATGGGCACCGACACCGATATGTGTATGCTCGTTTCAGTTTTCTCACCTTAATTCTCATGCTATGTCGTTTGTTTTGGTATCATTGTGTTCGCAATAGAATTCCCTACAGGAGTATAGTACAGTATATGCATATGTCCAAAAGCCCGGCGTGACTTCTCGCACCAAAGCCTAAAGTCGGCAAAAGTTACCCGTGAGCGCACAAAATCTGTAAAATATGTATACTCGTTTCAGTTTTCTCACCTTAATTCTTGAGATACGTCGTTCGTTTTGGCATCATTGTGTTCGCAATTAAATTCCCTACAGGAGTATATGCATATAATGTCCAAAAGCCCAGCGTGACTCCCTGCAGCAAAGCCTAAAGTTACCTGTGAACGAGCACCAATTTGCACACCGCAGCCTAATGTGTATATTCATTCAGTTTGATAACATTAATTTTCATGTTACACCTTTCATTTTGGTATCAAATTATTTGCAATATAAAGGTGCGTATTTTAAAACTATTCCCATAATAGAGCAATAACTGGAATTTGACTATTATAATTTTGGACACAGTATCACAAAATTATTTATACCTTTTCAGTGTTCTGACAAATTGTCCTGTTACATCTTTCTTTTTGGTATCAAATTGTTCGCAATCTAAGGCATGCATTTTAAAACTAGTCCCATAATAATAGCACAATAAATAGAATTTAAACAAATATTTTAAAACTTTGACCAAAAACGTATTTATAACCTTTCAAGTGTTCTGACATTAAGTTCCGTGTTATATCTTTCATTTTGGTATCAAATTGTGCGCACTCTAAAGGCGCTCATTTTGAAACTATCCCAAAGTCGATCGGATAATAAATGAATTTTACAAACTTTTTTTATAGGATGCCCACACAGTCCAATGCTCGGATTCAGAGAAAAAAAATCGGACGCAAGGGACGTTCGAAGAGTGCTATAGTGTTAAAAATACATTTACATACCAAAATTATCACTAGAGGTGTGCACGTTACAGTATCGGTCATATTAGTCGATACTTCTCAACTTCCTCCCCCTCTCACAAAGGTGGGTACAGTTCTAATATGTGATAAAAGCATTAAGTATCAGTATAAGAGCAACACTCTTATACGTAATACAATACTCTTTTCGTTCTTATATGTTCTTTTATAGTATATCAGTATCAATATTGCTCAAAATGTTTATATCGATACACCTCTAATAATCACACACGTTATCTAGATCAAACGTGTGTACAAAATTATCTTTACTGTATAAACAAATTACAGAATATAGAAAATAAAGAATGTTTTAAATAAAGAATGTTTTAATTTACAAATCAATTTAAGAATAAATGAGGCACAAATCTATATGAAACTTTTCCACTGTACCTGTCAAAATGTTCCTCAATTTTGTCCTTCTTCAGAGCAGATCGATCTTCGGGCATTTTTCTATTGTATCTTTTAAGGTCTTCCTCTTCATCTTTTGTCAACTTAGATTTTTCATTTGATTCTTCATTTGTCATATTGTTTTGTTTTTCTATATTTTGTTTCTGCTCAAAATTGTCTTTAAACTCCATTCCATATTGTTCTGTCTGGCTCCCTTTATCACTTAATGGAATAAACTCGGCTTTCTGAGCGTCTGAGGAAATATTATTAATGTTTGCATTATTCAAGAAAATGTCTTCCTCTTGTTGAGTCTTTGTTGCAATCTCACCCATTTTCAAGCTCTTTGGCATAATATCTTCAATTTCCTGACACTTTGGTGGTAAAAACTCATTGTTCTGGTTGGCTAATGAAATCTCTTCCATTTTCTGGTTGCCCGTTGAAGCATCACCTGCAGGCAAGGTGATCTGGGAAGGTGGTGTGCCAACACAAGAATGAGAAGCCTCCATGTTGCTGGTCTCCATATTCATTGTTACTCTTGACAGGTCTGTCCCTGAAAAATTAAAATGGTCAGAAGTTATCAAACCACTAGTAATTTATCTTATTGTTGCTGTATAAGCAAGACTTTGACAGAGCTATGAATCCTAGTATTCATATGAACATGTATTCCACAGCAACAGCACTCTGTATTAGAACATCTCCAGATCAGGAGAAAATACCAGGAGTGCCTCCTACCCAACTTTGTGATTAGATAAGAAATTCTTAGATAAACTTAAGGTTCAGCTTACTAAACCGACTGATTCTTCAACACACATTACAATATTCATGATTATTAATACAATACTGGTACTGTAGTAAATAAATAAAATAAAACACTTTATATGTTGTATGAAAATGAGTGATTATACTTTATAACCTTGATTCATGCCATAATTTACCTGAATTTACCAGAGGGCCATCATCAGTGGTGGCCTTGACAGGGTTAGAAGGCCAACAGCATGTCAAAGGTCCCCTTGCCACCCCTCCCATTATTCCAGAGGATTTTCCTAGCCTAATATAATTTGAGTGCAACACTAACAATAAATCTGCACAACATTAACATTCATAAAGGTAAATAAAGCTGTGCTTTCCAGATATGCACAACAAAACAGAATTGTTATCAGGATGATGGACATCATAATACCGTGTATAGCATCACATGAACAAGCACTCTCATACTCCAGCAGTCAGCAACAGCAGCACCACACCACTGCACAACATGATATATACAGTGCTCCTTGTGAATCGTCACACACATTATTAACACATACATAGACTCTCCTTACAAACTACTGTACCCAGCCTTTGTGTAAAGGAATTCAAACAGCGAGTTGTTCACACTTATCAATATACTCATTCAGAATGTCTTTTCTAACCTATCTCTCCTACTCCTACCCTTAAATTCTGTCAAATGCTCTTTTCATCATTGATTGCTGCCGCCGGAGGTGGCTAGTTTATTGTGCACCCCATACTCATCCTGTGAGCGGTAGTGCAAAAAGCATTAACTTAGAGCACAAAAGGTCAGTTTACCATCATCCAATTGTTCAACATGGCCAAACCATATCAATATGTTCATCTCATCTTGACAATACACTTTTATTCTTTAATCAATCTCCTCTTCTAATACCCCACTGCCATCTCAGATTATCCATTAATATTGGTCCAGCTCTTTGATTCTTTGCATTCAAACCACATTATCATCGTGCAACCATACAAGAAGACACTGCACTACTGCTACATGCAGACCTCTGGTTGCATCTATTCCTGTGTTATGTTCTGTAACAAGGGGTTTCATTGCACCAGCTACTCCACTCCTCTCTGATTGACCCAACTTCAATTGTCTTTTTTTTTGGTAACCAGTGACACATCCCAGGTATGTAAAATAATTCACTTCCAGCACTTTATTATTCACATTTACTTTACACACACAACTTCATCACCTCCAACATCACAAGTTTACTTTGATTCACATTTATTTTTAACATTTCTCTTACACTGCAATACAATTTTTAACTAATCTCCATTACACTCTCCCTACTAAAAGAACTTGTATGCATTCAGTACTGAACATCAAGCTTGACATGACCAAATTATTTATAATCTGCCTGAAATGCCATGCGTGCTAGTGGCTTTACAAGAATGTAAAACATCAATGCTCTGTACTCTCAAACCCATTGCATCTTGTATATAAATAAATATAAATAAATATAAATAAAAAACAAATAAATAAATATAAATAAAAGGCCTATACACTTCACCAGACCGACAACCAGAGTGCAACCCCATAGTCTCCCATGACTGATGTATGTCTACTATTATACACTACACTTGTACCCTTCTCTAACATTGCGTTTAACTCCCTCACGACCTCATTCATGTACTGTACTGTACTGTATATACAGTACAGTACTGAATTCAGTTACCATGGTAACTTCACACAGCCCTGATACCCACAGGCCTATGTCCTCCACTCGCAATGAAGAATCCTGGGTTTCATCCCCAGCAGAACAGAAATGGTTAGGCAGGTCTCCTTTCACCTGATGCCTCTGTTCACCTAGTAGTATATAGGTACAGTACCTGGGAGTTAGGCAACTGTTGTGTAGGTTACATCCTGGGAAAGGTCAGATGACGACTTAGCAAGACCTTGATAAGCTAAGTACAGGATTCCTTTACCAGACAATCTGTGCATGCGGGTCTACCACTGCAAACCACCTTAAGCCCATCATCACGCAGCAAAAATCTGCTATCAGAATAATAACCAACTCTGCTTTCAGACAACACTCAGCTCCCTTGTTTAAATCCCTAAACTTGCTAAATATTAACTCCCTCCACACATTCTCTTGTGTCAACTACATTTACAAAACCCTGTTCTTAAATGCAAACCATGCTTTGAAACTCTCCCTGGACAGATGTAATAGGACCCATTATCACCACATCAGAAATAAATATCTCTGATATCCCCAGGGTCACTCTTAATCTGTGTAAACACTATGCAAATTAAGGGACCTAGTCTATGGAACTCACTCCCTAGTGAATTGAAAAACTGTAAAACTTTTGCCTTATTTAAAAGCAAAACCAAAAAGTACCTAATTTCATCTTAGTTTCCTACACTGAACTTTAAATTTGCTCTGTACCTAGTGTTACCCAATCTCCTAATTTTTATGTAGTATCAAACAACCTTATCATTGTGTTCATTGCTGTCTTCTTTTATGTGCTAGCCATATGCTGTATTGTGACTACCAATTTTTGTCAACTACCATTCCAGCTGTCATTGCAATCAATCTTAGCTACCTATGTGCTTTAATATACTGTACCTACAATTTTCTCTCATCTTTTTTCATTCCATGTAACTTATCATTTTTTTTGTCTATAAATTTTACAAGTATTTACCTACTTAAAATTTTCTTAGATTAAGGACCTGCCCGAAATGCTGCGCGTACTAGTGGCTTTACAAGACTGTAATTACCATATTATGTATCCTCACATTCCCAATGTACCTTCTTGTATATGCATAAATAAATAAATAATAAATAAATAAACACTTACCATAACATTAAATTTTACACGTGCACTTTTACATAATTAATGAATTGGGTCAGCCAATAAACTTATTGATCACCTTCATATTTTCCTATGCTGGAGCACACAGACCTAGGTACATTAGTGGGAACAGGAAGCCTGCAGCTTGTCAAGTTCTCCTTTAGTTTACGAACTGTTATGCCATTGGTGTGGTCACCAGTACAAAAACTATTCATAACTGATATTTTGTTTTTAAATTCAATTGCAGCCAAGTACTATACCAAGATTCAAAATATATGTATACACACTTCATACTCACATTAAAAAATATAAAAATGCATCAATCACAACGCAAACCTTTAATATCTCTATCAGGGCGTTGTGGAGGCACTTTATCTCCAATTCACTGAACAAGTGCCAGAACATTCAAGGTTACATATCTTCACCCTAGCTCTTATCTTGTTACTCCCACTTTCAACAATTATTGATTGCTTATGTAATCTTGCCATCATTTACATGCTGCACCACAAAAGGACACACTTTTTTGTTATATCTTTCCTCAAGCATAACTTTATAATCTAAACCTTTTTTCTAATGCGGTGTATTTGACCCTTTCTTAAGAGCACTTTGTTAGGCATATAATCCTTTGAATCCTCACAAAGTATAAGCACTGGTATCTACAGTGCATACTGACATTGATGAATACATAACCGAGTAATAGTTTTCTACTGTTGGAGACAGGCTTTACGAGATCCTCAAGGCCAATGACTAACCTTCTCCAGGATGCAACATATTAGTTGGCTAACTAACTCTCAGGTACTTGTTTACGCCTTGGTAAACAGGTGCATTAGGTATAAGGAAACGTTCCCAAACATCTTGTCCTTTCTGGGAATGTCCAGTACTGATCATACGAGTGTGATAGAAAAGGATATCTTCCAAGTCAATGTTTGTAGTGATGGCTGTCTCTCTACAGAGGCAGTTGTGTTTGTAATGAGTGTTGTGGTTTTAGTGGTGCTGGTAATTGATTGTTGTGGTGCTTGTGTTGGCATCCAAGAAAATGCAAAATATTAAGCATTTTTGATACTTCAGTTTGCAAGTGTGTAGATTTTTTCACATGCCACTGCAGTAACTTTTTTAAGTGATTGTGATGGTTGTTATGGTGGGTAATGCTGGTTTCAGTTGGTCACAGTGTTTAAGAGGGATAGAAGAGTTGGAGACATATCAGACAAGTGTGTATAAGCTACTAATGTGAGGAAGGGATGGTGCCTGTATTGCCTAGACAGATGGTTGTGTCAGTAGGGTTGGTCGAAGTGCAAGTGCTTGCTTATCCAATAAGATCGTCCTCTTAAGTCTTTTGTGTCTAGTGCAAGTACTTTTACATCTCTTTGATGTTCAACCTGTGTCACATTTGTTCTTAAAGTTGGAGGAAAGTGATTGTAACGACGTTTACTGTAGATGCACTGCACTTGCTGACCAGAGGACTTACAGCAAGGAAAAAAATAAAAAAAAATATGCTAACATCTTTTAATTCTAATAATGCATAAATATCGCCTCTAGGTCTATGACTTGCTATTATTACTCTTACAAAATTTGGTAAAATCAGAAAATATCTTTGGAGGTGCCCCAAGGATCTTGAATTTGAATTTAATCAATTCTGCATTATGTGTGACTGTACGGATAACTGCCTACCTAGCATTTTGTGAGGAGAGAGTCATGTTTAAGTCATTCAAGTGGTTCATGCCAGTAAGGTATACAACCTGTACTGCCATGAAAATTATGAAAATGACATCACACACCTCATGTACACCATATATAGAACGCAACATTTTATAGGTTTGGTTCGGTTCAATGGTTTGTAAAATTTAAAAAGAGTAGCGATGACATAAAAGGGGGTACGTACCATTCTCAGGTTTAAGACCCTACTCAGTCATGCAGTAAGGAGCTGTATTCTGCTATAGTATGTTATTTTTTGTTATTTAATTCATGCTTGTATAAATACTAAGGATCTTTTTTTGCTTTTTATATAATCGTGTTCATTTTACAAAATGTTGAATGCAACCTTCTCTAGTGGCAAGGCATTTTGTTATAGGTTCTTAACCATTTGGCAGAGGTAGTGTGTATGAGTGCTCAAAATAATATATCTATGCCATTAAAAAAGACTGAAAATTTTGAATCGTGTTGTGTTTGGTGCATCAAAATTCACTTTTCCTATCGATATACCAAGTTGTAATGCATTATTGTAGATTATGCACGATTTAAACCAAGATAATTCAATAAAAAATCCACAATTAGAAAATCACAGTGATTACCTTGAAAGTGAAGAAATTGGTGGATTTTTTTTATTCCAGTAACATTGCATGCATAAATACTGCAACTCGCCTATACTTATTATAAATACAGAAACATTAAAAAAACTGAAAAACACACAGGAGAATGAATGGTACAAAGCATGAGCAAAGAGTTTCCAAGAAAATGCAAAAATTAAGCCATTTTGACACATTAGTTTGCAAGTGTGCAGATTTTTCCATATGCCATTGCAAAAAAAATCTAGTCAAGTTCTGGAGAAGGAACAGATGTTTCTAACAGATCAGAGAACTGAGAAACAGATGATTACTTGCCCTGTTCATATCACTATTAATCAAATGAAATGAAGGGAACTCAGGAAAGTAACTGATACAGAACAAGCTGCCAAGTACTTTGCAAACAACCTGCAAGGGCAGAAAATTTACTTGCGTCACACAAAGATTTAGAACAAATGTTGAAAATGATTGGGACCATCTACCTATACAAATCATTAATAAACCCTTACTATCAATATCAAAAGGAGAAACTAACATTCACATGAGACAATCTGCCAGTACTGTAATTGTATTAGCCTGCGTCCATCAGAAATACAGCAACAATTGAAAGTGCTGTTCTAGAGGATGTAGGCATAATTACACCACAGGACTCATTAAATCTCAAAGACAGAAAAATCTCTTACCAAACTGTAAAGATAACTCATATTGCATATTCTTGCAGGGATTATATTTTGACAGTCTTAAGGACAGAACTATTATCCAAGAAAAGAAAGGAGCAAAATTCTACCAATGATTATATTCCTCTATGCTCTTTTTCTCATCTTAAGTTGTGATATTGAGTTCTCTTAACCTTTAAGCGGGTCCTGTCGTTCTCAAACGAGAGATCAACAATACAGTACACACAAATTATAATAACATAACATATCAAATGAAAAAAATCCACAAAGGCCTTGATGAGGGTTCGAACCTATGCACTGGATGTTCCCAGACGTGCTCTAGCAACTGTACCACGACATGGTAAAAGAATTGCAACCTGGAGAGCTACTGCTCCTACGAGGATCTCGAGGCTTCCACTGAAACTTAACCGGAGTTTCACACAATTGCAACATGCATTCGGGCTGTCAACCAAATAGTTACCCGAGGGCCACTTACCCTAGTGTCCTCGATGAGGACAGGAAGCCAGTGGCTTGTCGAGGGTCCCCCTCCATTTGCCTTTATTTTTTACCAATTTTTTTTAGTTGATTTTATAATTTTTTATTGTTTCACCGAGAGGTCTTGAGCTATGCAAGTGATTTTATCCCCATCCAGTTGCTTCAATTTTGTATAAGTATTGAACTGTATATCCCATCTGTGTTCATGATTTGCTATGGTTATACGCATTAAGTTAGCATCAGGTTTACTGAACACCTCTTTCTGGAAGATGTTTTGATGTTTCACCTTGCCTATGAATTTCTCTAGCACTTTAATGTTTTCATTATGACTTCCCCCTCCTCTTCTACAATGCATCTTGTACCCTCCTCTTCTACAATGCATCTTGTAATGACTTTACTTTAATTCTCCCTCCAAAGCTTATTTTATTGAAGTATATTTTCTAAATTATGTCTTACTACTTATCCTCCATATTGGCACCAGGTTTACCATCTTGATCACTATTTAATTACAGTATACTGTAGTTATATGCATAACATTATGTATGTTTAGACCTGAGAACTAAATGAATGGACAGCACAAAACGTCCAACAGTGTGACATTGTTAATGCTGGAATTAGGATGAGATTTCATTACTTAAAGCAGGTAATAAATCTACCAACAGTGAGCCCCTCCAATTGTACTCAAATAGAAACGAGCTAGGAAATGCTCTTCAACACTTTATTAAACCCATTCATCAATGCATTTAGACCAAATGGTATGAAATACCTTGAGCTTCAAAAATATTTTGTTCACTCTCAGACATTAAAAGGAAATAATTTGTTTTGTCAGGGACAAGAAGCCTGTGTATAAATGTACAGTACAGGCATGTGTAACAAGATCCCAACAAGGTTGAATTACTGACCCTCCCCAGGATACAATCTATAGTACAATCCCACTTCCAAGGGACTGTACCAGAGGTCAACACCTCCAAGTCAAGAACGTTGCCACTGTACTGTGCTAGTGTAGGCCAGTATACTAGATTTGCACCCTATGTTTTTATTTTGATTCCATGTATTACCAAATATTCTGCGAGATATTTTGACATATCATTATACGTTAATGCAATGTACAACTTTATAGCACATCGTATTAACGCATACTTTACCTCAAGGCCAAAAACTGATGTAAAGAAAATGGTAGTGCTCACAAAATTGACAATGTCCCATTTTCTGTTCATGGGTCCTCTGGTTGGATAGATTAGGGCACTTTAGTACTACAGTTTCTTGAAGTTGGGAACGCTCGCGAGAACAGGCCAAGTTTTTTACCTATACAGTACCCTATAACCCTAACATAAAATAGAATGGTAGCATACCAATGTATACCCAAGCCCATAAAATAAAAAGCGATAATTTTTGGACAATGTGATACATCTGGCAAGACTACCAGCTCATGACTTTAGTTTTGGACCCTAAACCACAGCTACAGAAGCCATACTTGCTATTGCTTCTCGTAGCTGCTACTTTGTCTTAGACATTCAACTTTTCATAAATTATAATTTCAGTCTTTACACCTCTTATTACTTTCTAGCTGTCGCCTAGTTACTTTGGCCTTATGTTCCCGATTTATACTTGTTTTCAATTTCAATCAAGTTTATAGACAATAAGATACATATCAAAAGGATAGAGTAGCTTAGGCTAATTCTACCGCTCCAAATTTATACTTACAATTTATTACAAATGTTAATAATATTACCACTACATTTTTTTTTGTATTAAAACTATCAACTACAGGTATATAGTCATTTCTTTAACTACATTATAGCATTAGCAAGTCTGAATTTGCTGTCAAGGAATGAAGGAATTGCACATAAGATTCATTCAAAAGACTGTACGTACAAGACAGCAAAAATACAGAAACACTAATGACAATTTATTACAAGTCTCGCATCTGTCATGGACAGTTGAAGTAAATGCTTTCCCAGACGGGACAGAAATGGTTGGGCACGTATCATATCATCTAATGCCTCTGTTCACCTTGCAGTACATAGGTACCCAAGAGTTAAACAGCTTATTCGGGAGGGAAGTGCATCCTTGGGAGGAGGAGGGGGTCAGTAGCTTGACCTTTGGAGGGACTGGATATATAAAACATGTTTAAACATGTTTATACATACACAGACTGCCTGTCCCCCGTCGACAAAATGAATTATCTCGGGGAAACTCCCAACGTCAGTCCTTCATATTCTCTTAACAGCTGTGAAATAAGTCTACAGAATTACTTAAAATCATTAAATTGAAATTGACCAGTGAAGAAACCACTCAAAAATGTTAATTTACCTCGGCCGGCGCCAGACACCTCCGCCGACGACACGATCATCTGCAAGTCTGTTTACACTGAGAGGTCACGCTGCCGGCCACGCCGGAGAACTTCTCTTACAAACACCTCATCAACTATGACCATAAATTCTCAAACAAGTATATTTCATTTAGATTCTAATTCTAATATTAAGTACTATTATTAAGTATTGAAAATTGATTTTCAATTAATATTTATTTATATATACATGAAATACCGTAATTTTTTTTTTTTAGAATTCTGCCAGACGTCCAGAATTTTTTTTTGTGTTTATTAACAAGCAGATATGGGCGTCTGGGCATCATCTAACAAGATAGATATCTGTTTGTCACTGTTTTACATGTATATCACAATTATTGTATTACTTGTATTCTAGATTACTATGACATACAGTCATGTGTTCGAATGGGCCCTTGCAGTAATCCCGGCAGCTGAGTTAATCCCTGCAATTTATTTATTTTTTATTTATTTATATATACAAGAGTTCTTACGTTCTTGTAAAGCCACTAACAGGCATAGCGTTTCGGGTCCTTAATCTTAATTTTCCACGGACCCGCCAAATCGTTTAACAACCAGGTATCCATTCACTGCTGGGTGAATAATCGAGGTACACTCAATTATTTTTTAGGCAATTTATTTTTTTAGGGGGTTTAGGCAATTATTTTTTATGTATATATACAAGAGTTCTTACATTCTTTTACAGCCATTAGCTAGCGCAGCGTTTCGGGCAGGTCCTAAATCAAGAATCTTATAAGTTCCCCGTCAGATCATCACCCTAGATTGACTATATGTATCGGAAATACCATCTTGCCCTGTGGGACTTTTAAACGCAAACGGCTCAGTGTTCCTCCTGCTTGACGTGAAGACTTTGTTGCTTATGTGTCAGAGTGGTACAGCACTTATGGACATTTAACGACGGTCTAGTACAGAACATTCAGATGTTCGCTGACCCTTTAGGTCGGCCCCCTGCACCATCCAATAGTCGGAACTATATGAAAAGTATTAAACACCATGCCCATTACAATGACCCCAAACTGCGTACTTTGAAACGCACTGCCAGAAGAGTTGGACTTGCATATAGGGAAACATGTACGCCAGCAATGCTCAAGCTCTTCCAGAAAACCCTAGCCAAGGCAGGGAGCACATGACAGAGCTCAGGCAAAATAACTGGGAAACTTTTGTTAACAGTCTCAACTCTCACAACCCCCCCCCCCCCTCAGCCAGGCATGGAAGGATACTAAAATAATTAAAGGCGATAAGATCGGCCAAGCAGCACACCCTCACCCTCTACACAGAGCAAACGAGTTAGTCGATGCTTGACCAACCACCTCTAGCCGGTCCGTCTAATTACCAAAAACTACCACATACTACACACGCTTCAGAAAACTTCCTGGCAATACGTTAGTAATGAATAAATATGCTATATTTACTCATTATAATGTTGGTGATGAATGTACAACACGAAAAAACATAATTTTAATCTGAAAAAGTATCTTTTTATAAAGAAATTAGACGAAAATAAAAAGCTGGTGACGCCAAATCAAGTCGACGATCCAAGCTTCGGTTAGGTTAGGTTAGGTTTGGTTAAGTTAGGTTAGGTTAGGTTAGGTTAGGATAGGTTAGGATAGGTTAGGTTAGGTTAGGTTAGGTTAGGTCAGCCTAACTTAATATATCATATTTATTCATTACTAACGTATTGCCAGGAAGTTTTCTGAAGCGTGTGTAGTATGTGGTAGTTTTTGGTAATTAGACGGACCCCCTCTAGCTTCAATAATCTTCCCCCAGACACACAATTCAGATTAAATGCTGGTTACGGAGATCGAGAAAGGCTCGTTGACTTTATGCTCCACAAGGAAGATTAATGCAACGTGCCATTTACTGAGTGAGTTATTTTCGGCCCTAAACAAAGGTAAAGCCACATCACCCGGTGAGGATACCTGGTTGACTTAGATTTTGGTATCACTAGGATGGTATCACTTATGACATATTGCGTCTGCTCCCTTTAGCACCAGGGAATATCCCTGCTTGAGCTGTATAATATGAGCTACGTTACTGGTGAACTTCCTATCTCTTGGACCAACAGTATAATCATTCCAATTCCCAAGCCATTTACAAAATGTATTTGCAAAACATTCGAGAGAATGGTCCTAAACCGTTTCCTCCATAGAATAAGAACCATGGTATCCCCTCCAGATATATGACTTCATGCATGGAAGGAGTGTGCATCATTGCATCACGACCTTTCTTACCCTGCACACTGAAAAATAATATACCACCTTCCTAGATCTCAAGTTGATATTTCAGTGTGCAGGACAAATATATGATGTTTTGTCCCTGATGAGGCACAAAATGGGGCTTGGGAAATGGGGGTGGGATGAGAGGTACGACAGGGTAGGGCAGAGTATGGCAACGTAAGGCAGGAATGGAGCAAGTCATGGATTCATCCATTCTCTGTCAGAGCAGAGAATGGTCAAGACAGGACATGGCGTTGACACAGTAGAGTATGTTTAGGGCAGAGACGGGGCAGGGATGGGGTAGGGTAGGGCAGGGGCACTGCCGAGCTTGGTGAGGTGAGAATATGTTGGGGGCCCGGCAGAACAACGTGATGATGATCCTAGACTCCCCTTCCCCCCCTACATATGACCGTGACCTCCGCCTTACCTTCACCGCCTGACCGTGACCTTACCTTGACCCCCTCACCATTGTCACGGCCTCGCGGTACCTCACCGTCACTTTTCAATATTGTAACTTGCACAACACTAACCTACACACCATAACCACCACGACCCTGCACTATGTTAACAAAAATACCTATAGGATAATGGTTCATTATTTTAGTCATTGAGAGGAACGCTCAGTAAGAAGTAAGAAGTCAGGTCAGGTAAGGTCGGTCGGTCAGTGTCTCTGACCAACCGACCCTCCCCCTCTCTCTCTCTCTCCATGTATGTATATATATATATATATATATATATATATATATATATATATATATATATATATATATATATATATATATATATATATATATATATATATATATATATATATATATATATATATATATATATATATATATATGTAGAGAGAGAGAGAGCAAGAAACTAGAACAGCCAGTTCGTGAACGTTAAATACAGAGATAAATTGCAATTATTATATATCTGATAATTGGTGAGAATTTAAACAAAAATAAAATTAATGCTCGTTAATAAGGTTCCATCTGGTTTTTCACTGAGGTTCTTATGAGATTATTCCATCACAGGCCAGATTATCAATCTCAATAATGCATTTAGAGCAAATAATTTAGAATTATTAATATTAAATAAATACAGGTTTGAACATGACCATCCAATGGCAATGACGGATTTGTTTTCAAGTTATGGTATACTAATATTAAAAAATCTGACAATATTAGATTTAAGGAAATGTATACGTTTATCTCTCAGAATGTTTGGTAATATGTTTATTGTTTGTGATGTGTGTCTATGTATGTATTATCACGATGTATTGAACGGGGTGAGAATAGCTTGAGCGGGTCCGTCTAATTCCCACAAGCTACCACAAGCTTCACAAAGCTTCCTGGCAATACGTTAGTAATGAATAAATATGCTATGTTAGGTTAGGTTGACCTAACCCAACCTAACTTAACCTAACCTAACCTATCCAAACCTATCCTAACCAAACCTAATCTAACCTAACCGACGCTTGGATCGTCGACTTGATTTTACGTCACCAGCTCTTTATTTTCGTCTAATTTCTTTATGAAAAAGATACTTTTTCACATTAAAATTATGTTTTTTCGTGTTGTACATTCATCACCAACATTATAATGAGTAAATATATCATATTTATTCATTACTAACGTATTGCCAGGAAGCTTAGTGAAGCGTGTGTAGCTTGTGGTAGCTTGTGATAATTAGACGGACCGGCTTGAGCTACCTCATCCCTTTGTTTTTTACATTACAAGAGTTTTTACATTCTTGTAAAGCCACTAGTACGCGTAGCGTTTCGGGCAGGTCCTTAACCCTAATTTCCCCGGAATACGACCCCGCCGAATCGTTTAACAACCAGGTACCCATTCACTGCTGGGTGAACAGAGGCTACAGTTAAGGATTGGCGCCCGGTCAATCCTCCCCGGCCAGGATTCGAACCCAAGGCAAGGCGCTTGCAAAACGCCAGGCGAGTATCTTACCACTGCGCCACGGAGACTGCTTAATGTTTGTGTGTATTTTACCTCAATAAACTTATTTCAGTTTCAATTTCAATATTAGATTTATATATAACTTTGTATCTAAAAGATTTGTAACGCCCTTTCAGACGTGCAGCTGAGAGTTGTGTACGAGTATGCATGATATTAGGCGAGATATGATTAGATAGCCTCGTGCGTCCGTTCAAGTATCTTCAGAATCATTATTTATGCATAAATTATTCATATTATAAACATAATTTGAATCCTAGGCGAGAGATTGAGTAATTATCCACTTCGCCAAGAGTGGATAATTACTATCATGAACAATATGTTCATGATAGTAATGGGGGCATGGGGGCTCCCCCCTGGGATAACTGCCCAGTGTACCCATTCGTTAATATTAAGAGGGCACTGGCGAGACGTCTTCAGATCAGATTCAGTAATCATACTGATAAGATCCATTACTCTTATCAGATGAAGCGTATCAAAGGTCGGTTATATCGGCTTAATTAGGTGTCGTCAATAGTAGTTTAAAAAGATGAAACGGCCGGCAGACATCATGCCGCCATGACAGTGGGGGGGGGTGATGAATAGTTTCGATTAATTCTTTTTCTTTTTTTTCAATTGCATACCCCATCTTGTGAGCGGAATTGGAAAGGTTACAGAGGTACATAATGGGTTCAGGAGCTGAATCCAAAAATTATTATAGCCAAGAAGTTATATCTTGTTAACATAAATACACAAATTGTCTTCAAACTCAAGAGGTCCTAATATAAAGTGAAAGTTTGTCTGTCGTGCAGCCTAGCGATCAACGAAGTTTATATATGGTTAGAATACTTCTTTATTTAAAATGCAAACGAATCTAAGAATATGATGCAAACTGCATTTGGACACCTGTT